GCCAAAGTTGGTGGAGCGAGAGAGATGAGAAGGGGCAGTGATGATGGGAGGGAAGGCACCAAGCCGAGTTCTCATAAGAGGTTCAGCCACACAGCATCTGATCATTAATGTCCATCAGACATTTTGGCTTGTGTCCAGCTAGCTAAACAGAATGGTGGCATGGCCATAAGATGAAGGCCCCTGCACTGACGCAGGCAAAAAGCCAAGTTTCCATGTAGATTTCCCTGCTTCTCCACCCTCTTGGATTACATTAAAGATGACCTGCCCTGTCACTGATTTGAATTACCTTATGGGCACTGCAGAACAAGCAACATAAAGCATGCAGTTGGCGAGACATTTGGAGAGGTGAGATAACCAGCTCTTTGAAACCCTGCAATGTAAAATATGAACAGGGCTTATACATCCAGAAACTTGTCTATTAGGTCTTTGCCAAACAGCAGTGAAAGAACAAGTCAGAATATCTGAAATGCATTACTCTCCAAATGATGTTGAGACTGATCCCAGAATAACAGACTTATTTGCATGAATAGAAATGAACTAGTCTGCATGCTGTATCACAGAATCATGAATCAGCAAGCTTAAGTCTCTCAAGTGCTTATAGCATTGTGCTTATAGACTGAGCTACAGACAGTCATCTTACAATGTAGTGGTACTTTGGTTTTATCTTTCTGAATCAAGGAAAGGCTGTTGTGTTCTCCCTTCTGTTCCAGAGTCAGCATAGTCTTATTACATGATTTGGCCACAATCATGTTTTGCAATGCTGAGTCTGTTTGTTCTTGAACATGGGGTGAAATTTGACATGGCATACCTAATCTTTTCTTGAATATGTTACTTTTGAATATACTGCCTTTAGTCTGATTTTTTTTCAGGCAAGTTCTGCATAATTATAATGGAATTATTTTTGAGATTATTAGGTCTACAACTTCTAATACATTGGTATTTAAAACACAAGCCTCTAGAATTTTCCACCCTTACAACTACACTATTTCCAAGAAAAGGACCTTGTCAACTGGAAGCATGATATAAAGGGAGCTTTTATATTTGCATAGAAACTGTTTGATAGCAAAGTCTCCAAGGTTTCTCTTTGAACTCAAGTATGCAAAGTCAATAGAATTAAACAAAATACCCTAAAGATGACAGAAAATCATGGTACTTGAGACAGGTTTAAAAATTGTTTTTCTCTTCCTTTACCTTGATCCTGGGCAGAATTTTTAAAGCATATTTAAGTTGTGGGTTAGGTTGTCATTTCATAAAGTCAGTTATTACTCTGTATCCTTTCTTTAAATAGATTTGCCTGTTTCAATTCATGGCATGTGCTGTCTCTGTGGGACTCTACGGAAAAAACTGTATAGTCATTTATCTTTGTTATTTTCTGCAGGATTTGGAAGGAGTAATTATATTAGTTCAGCAGATTTAAAAATAATAATAGTTCTAAAACACCCTGCATGAGCTGTTAATTGGAATAATATGCACTAAAGATAAACCAGGCATTTTTTTCATGGAACCTAGTCTCTCAGCAAACTGAATAAGAAACTGTGGCTCTTGCGGTCATTTCATTTTTACTTCATGAGTATAATAAAGTCATAATTCAGTTTAATTATACTCTAATCAAAGTCATTTTTCAGCATCACCTCTGATTTTCCTAATTGAACAAGTCAAGCTCAATTTCCTTTTCAGATGCTTTTAAAAAATCTTGACCTTTCCCTTTGCTGTCCCATTTTAAAAAATAATATCCAGTGGCGCATATATATGCACAATATATGAAAAATATCAGTATTGAACCTTTGTGTAGATCTGAGAGGTCTTGCCAAAATTTCCTGTACCAACGTTACTGGAACTTACATCACAGATGCTATACTAGATGTAATACTGTTGTTGTTCAGTTCAATAATTCTAAAAAAAAATAAGGTCAAGATCTGTATACAACATAACAAGCATTTTTGTCTGCCTATTACTATTTTCACAATTACTGTGAATGCTTGGAGAAATCTATGTTTGCCTGAGTATCTAGTCATTACCTTGGACAATGATCTGATATTAGAAATATTTTAGCACAGAGATAATTTGTCCCTTCTTCTCCCATTCACCTCATCTTTTAAAATGACACATCTTATGACAGTGTACGGAAATACAGGAAAAGTATCTTTATCTGAACAGAGAAAGGCATGGTTTATTAAAAAAAGAGCAATAAAAGGTTTATCTTAAAATAATTTTTGGTCTGGAAGCTAAGCCTCTTAAGGAAGGCGCTAATTGAGACATGCATTTACAATCTTTCAGTCTATGTTACATTTGAAAGAGCGAAAATTTGAAAATTTTGAATTTTTATCAGTACGATTTTATGTAAGTTTTAAATAGAACTTTTTTTTCCTTAGTAGAAATGAAAAACCTTTTGTAGTCAGAACTAGACAAAATTTCCAAATAAAAAAAAAATTAAAAATTTAAAAAATTTAAATCTTTTCAACTCTGCATAAGCTACTTTGGGCAGAATAAAAAGTTGATAGAATGAAATAAAAGCTAAATTGAAAAATAATAATTTGACTTGCATCAAATATGACTTCTACTATTCCTCAAAATAATCTACTAAACTGTTTTTCTGCATTGTTATCAGAAAAAAGACCACCTCAGAATTTTAAAATTAAATACTATGTTTCCCCTATATACTGGTATTTATTAAAAAATATAGAACAATGTTCTGGTAAAATGAAATTAATCTGGGTTCTGTAGGGTATTCTCTCATATTACAGCTATAATAATAAAAATAGAACAATAATGCTTGTAGGCAATATCCATGATCTTGCCAAATATTCCACTTTCTTGATTTATACTGGATTTAGCCCCAGTTTGAGATTTCAATGAGGAAATGGCTGAGTTCTTCTGGTACAGAAATGTGGGCTGAACTTTTCACGATTCTTACCTACATGAAATATGACATTTAAACTAACATATATATATATGTTTAAACATAAAACTTGTTTTGTTCAAGTTCCCCTGCATCCTGCAGTTCGCTTCATTAGGGTCCCTTTCACCACTTCATTGTTTTTCATCTCTGTGGTCACTGTCAAACAGTAGTTAACTCTAGATGGGTGATCTGGAGTGCTGATATTCCATCTGAAAGGATGCGTGATGATGCATGGGACGCAGTAATGGAGATGCTTTTGTCCTTCTACATAGTTGTTATACTGTTCTAAGAGCACTTCAATAACCATTTTAATAACGGTTACTAAATACAGCAGAGTTCTCTGGGACAGAATCTATCCGTGTCCCTAAATATGTTTAACTGCTAAGCCCCTGGAACTTCTCGCAGGGTAAAGTTAAGCACATGCTTAAATATTTTGTTATGGAAGGCTTCACATATTACAACATGTACAACAAGCAAAAGAGTTAATCTGCAGCTCCACATCAAACGGTCATCGTATGACCAAGTGAAAGGAAGGCAGTGGTCTATGGCTGCACGGTTAGTAAAGCATAGTGGTAGAGCATGTATTATTATCCACATTTGGGGCAGGCAGTACAGGGGTGAGAATAAGAAACTCATGAAATCTACTGAGGAAAACTAAATAAGCCAGGGATTCAGTTGTGATTAGATGTGAATTCACACCTCCTAGGTTTGTGCTGCTACACGATGTTTATGGTGACACTGGGTATCAATTTTATGATGTACTTATTTACAACATCCAGGCGAGTATACATTAAATCACCTTAAATGCTGCACTGTGCATACAGTCTGTCAGCTTGACCAGGTGTCTTGTAACTTTGTCTATTACCCCTCCGCACCCACTGTACCTGTTTGCTGTTATGACTGCTTTTTACGGTATATCTTAAATTAATACAGTCTCTCAGTAGCAGACACTGTCTTTCACACATGGCACAGATCTTCCAAGCTGAATGTTAGCTATCGTTTGCTAAAATCAGTCTTGGCATACCTGGTTGAAACACTTACTGACTTCAATAACAGCTGCACTTTCCGATCTTGCTGCACAGTGTTACATGTTCCAGTAACTACATTCCAGTTCCACTTTGGTCCAACAGTTTCAGTCTCTTTAAACAAATGTTTGGTATTAATGCCCTCTTTTCTGATCCTAGAACCACCCATTACTGAACCAGCGAGTCTCCTACTGCCTTCAAAATGATGCTCAGACCTTCAAGTGCAAAGCTTTAAAATCCTTCCTACCAGTCCTATATAGTGGAAATAGGTGTGAATGCTGGAAGATGAGGAATTCCCTGATCTATTTAACAGGCAGGAGGGTAAAAGCAAGAACTAAAAACTGGCCTCTGGCACCAAAAGTTCCTCTCACTACTGACTTCCTTCTGTGGCCTTATTTGTTTGACAGCAAGTTATTCAAAAAAATTGAAAAGGTGTTAGATTTTTTCATATGGGGGTGTTTGGGATGTTGTGTGCTGTATTACTGAAGATGTCTGTGCTATATCACAGAGATATAGCACAGACTTGTAGAGAAATGTATATGGAAGTTATAAATAGGGTGTATGTTCTCTGAGCCCAGGCATAAACAGTACAAGAAACATGGGTGTAGGCTTTTTTTAGCCCCCAACTCTCTATTAAATCATGAAACTTCCATTAAGAAATCAAGAAAAACAAAGCAATGAACGAAAGGGAGAAAGAATGAAAAATAGTCAAGGCTTTTGCTTTAAAATTTGATTGCAATTCAGAGTTGACCACTTGGCACTGCTGTGCAAAGTAGCATTTTTCAGTCTTACTTTTTCTTGCAGAATTACATCATTACCTCCGATCAGTTTTGAAAGACACTGAGGATGATGTATTCCAGCAGAAAATGAACAGAGCTGATATTTCACAAAGGACTGACCACTAGGTCACTATAGGAGAAAAACGCATTTTTATTTTTATGCAAAAGAAGCTTTTCTTCTTTCCTGCAGAATCCTTTCCTCTTCCACACGCTGTGCACTTGCAGGTACCAGGCCTGTATACCCTTACACTTGCACATGAGAGCAGATCGATGAGAAGCACTTTGATGCCAACCTACCATTCTGATGCCGTTCTCAAAGGCCTGACGTGCTAGAGAAGCAGGTCCATCCACTGTCTTACCGTCGTCATCAGGCCCCCAGCTGGCACTGTAGATGTGGATGTGCTGGGGATTAAGGCTTAAAGACTTTGCTTCTACCATGTCTGTCACGTCTCCGTCCAGCATGCGGACACCTTCAGAATGAAAGATACAATGAACAGGACCAACCAATTCAAAATGCGTCTTTTTTTTTTTTCCCCCAGAGAAAACTGTGTAGAGCATGGGACTGAATGATCATAACAATTTCTACTGTCGATAAAAAAAAAACCCAAACCTGTTTGGATGTGTGCTTTTCAATGGAAAAAAGGCTCTAGATGAAAAAAATACAAAAAAAAGCACAAATATTTTGGACTTTCTTCGAGTTTTAAAAACTATCTACAAGTCATTTATCCACCATACAGCCTGTGAACTTCAACAACAAACTTTTACGTTAAAGAAAACTTAAAGACTTCAAGCTTGAAATGCTTGTATCTCTCACTTGAAGATAACGTATGATTTTCTTTCTCCTTTCATACTGCAGTGAAACTGCAGCACCTACTTTAAGTCATTCATGGCTGACAGATAAACATGGGATTTCTCCTTCACTGTATGAGGCTGCAAAGAAGAAACTGGGGAGAAAGCGCGCGTGTACAGACCAACTGCCATACACAGTAGCAAGGTGATTATAGGAAGCTACTAATAATACCCTATATGTAACCTTATTCAACCTGAAACTACAATATTGTGAACAACCTCCTTCGTGCAGAAGAAGATTTTACAAGGTATAATCTGAAATTCTTATGTTGAAAGAATCCACTCATGTGGGTTTGGACAAGTCAATACTCCACCCCTTTTAAAGTGAACGGCATCATTATGTTTTAAGACCACTAGACTGAATAACATATGCTTAAATCTGGAAACCGAGCTTAAAGTTGTTCTTTTGACTAACTGTAAGATTCTGACTGAAGTTAATTCTGACTGAGAAAATCACTGATGTCAGTTTTAACCTAAACAAGGAAAAGGACCTACATACAGCTAGCGTGGCATCTGATCAAAGCGATGTTAAAGATTAAATAATAATTAGCATGTAACAGTATGATAGTACAGAGTAATGATTACTTTCACTATTAACAAGTTTGATGCTCTTTCCTCTTTAAAAGACCACTGCTATTTTTATGCCAAATTTACATATTTTTAATTACAGACACATTTTGTTTTGCTCATGAACTCAGACTGAAGTAACTTGAGTGTTCACCAAGACCTTCCAATTAACAAAAGGCATAGGGGGTGCTTTGTTGATAGAGGGTCTTTTTTTTCCTTACTCTAATTGACTGAAAAATGAAAAGTGATCATATTTCTAAGTTCACACAAAACCTGCCCATGTTTTGTGAGATAATAAACTTCTACAGTGATCTCACTATGAAATTTATTTTATAAAGTCATTAAACCAACTCTGGGATTCTCAGGTTTTGTTTTTCTTCCTCAGCATAATCTCAGAAAATTAATGATGGGTGGAAGTTGTGTTCTCAATTTCTTTCAAGCACATTAAAGTATATTTCATTTTAAATAAAGACAATAAAACGTACACTGCCTTTGAAAGAAGAAAAATAAAGCATCCCTTTATGTCTCTGTTACTCTGTAGCAAGCCTAAATAATACTACATGCATTCAGTGAACAGTAACTCCAAATTCTGCCTTTGGCACTGAAGTAATTCACACCATTTTTTTTTGCAAATGGTGAAGTAGTCAAATCTAAAGCAACACAGAAAGACTGTGACTTAGGTGTTGCTCTCTTCAGCCAACAACTGACAGACATGCTTCAAGGGTGACTTTGAACAACAGGCTCATTGGCTATTTACAAAAAAACAATTCCATTCCCCCTTCCCTTCCCTTCCCTTCCCTTCCCTTCCCCTCTTTTTTTTCCTCCCCCAAATGTCTGGAGAAGTTAATTCTGCCAATCACACAACCTCCAAACTCCATTTGGCATGTGGTGATGGCACAACAAAAGCTGTCCAGCAGGCAATTAACAGACTCCATTTGCAGACTGTTCCACCTAAGATTTGAGCTCTGTAACCTTTTTGCAATATTTGCAGTAATTGCCAAAATATAAGTGGCATTTTAGTCCAAACAAACTTTCAATGAATCATAGGAAACATGCAAAACTGAGCTGAAAGCAAGTTCTCTTTCAAAATGTTTGGTTTTAATCAGCATCTCACTTAAAGAAACAGCTGAACTAATTCCTTGTCAGCTGAAGACAATCTACATCTGTTGTGCCATAATTCAGTGTAACTGTTTTCGCATCAGGACTCGAGCCCAGCCAAGTAACCAAGCATCCAAATCCCCACAGATGCTTTGCAACTTCCACAATCAGTGTGCACCAATAACAACATGCTAACCATCCCTTCCTATAAAAAGTCTCACAAGCTCTGTAGGTGGTAATTTGCTGTGTGTGATGACTGTAGAGAGTCACATTAAAAAAAAGATGTAGCCCTTTGGTGCCCCGGTTTGTCTTTTAGTGGAAGGGCCTGTAGCTCAGCTAAGTATAAACTGCAGGCATAGTGCATAACTTTTTATATGAAGCCTCTCACAACCTGTAAAAGAACTGAAGGTCCAGATTGCAAGTTTACTCAGATTTTCTTATCTGTAGATTACATCCCTGCTTACACCATTGTAAGAGAAGGCTCAGACTTTCTAAGGATCTTATTTTTGATCTATTTGTGGTCAGAGGTTCTTAAAATGTGCGGAAATGAGACAATGGGTAGAAACACATATAGGAAAAAAGCGAGCATTACTGGTGGATATCTGGTTAACAACCTCCCATCACAAAGATCATTAATCGGATTTGTTCAGCTGCCAGTATTTGATAGAGTATTGATGGAAATGATTTCTCTTCCCCTTTCCCTTATCTCCTTACTATCCCTTATGTGTCCAGAGATGCTTTTTGGTTTGAAGCAAAGAACACTTATCTCAGTGGAGCAAATTCAACCACACGGTCAGCAGGTGACACTGACACTTACACTCTGTGTAGGGAGAACGTAATTGCTTTACCCAGGAGGGTCTTTAAATCCCAGGGAAAGAAGTGAGCTGAATACTAGCTCAGCACAACATGATTTAACATTTTACACTCTATCTGGCCTGTGGAGAGGGAACACAACCACTGCATATTCACATGTGTAGCTTATGGCTTTTCTGAAGCAGAGGAGGGAGGCATGCCAAATAGAGGTCAGCACCAGCAAAACTCTTAAATATATACACTTAGTGGAAAAGCAAGCTTAACTTCCCTTCCCGATACCCTGGAATTTCCCTTTGCCTCTGATTTTGTGCAGATTATCTGCTGAGCCTCCTGAATTCTTCTTTTCAAGTGCCAATGCTTTTAAAAGGTGGCACTTTACCTCTCGTGAGTTCTAAACACTTATTACTTTCCAGCTTTCTTTTAAGAACAGTGTTAGTGATGGGTCTACAGAATCATGGTGACAAATGGAGTGGACAAAGCTTTTATTTCACTTAGACCATTGAAATATCTTGAAAGCTGTTATATTCGTTGTACAAAATAAATAAATAAATAAATAATAAAAAGGTACACATATCCAGTCTTTACTATTCACATTAACTGTATTCATGCTAAGTCCATCTGAATCAGTTTTTACACTATATTTAGGAAAGTCTGTCATTCAGCTAATATGCCTGGAGGGTTTCTAAAGCATTATTATTGCACATTCCTAATTAATAAATAATAACCTATTATGAAGCCACTACTACTAAGGGAGAACTTTTCAGGGACATGCACAAACTGTTGCAGGTTGTTGAACATGTAACTCACAAATATAACCTCTACAGAAGCCACTGTTATCTCTATCAGTCCACTAACTCTCCTCTGACTCTGATTTGACAACACAATAAATCTGATTTCATAGCTGGTGGTACAGGACCAAATGCCAGGTCCACATGAGACAACCTGTTCATCTGCCACAAACTCACTCACTTGGCCAGTTCAGATTTTCTAAAGCACTCTGACAGGGTGACTTTGTGTAGGCAGCTCTCGATCCGAGGGGAAATTGTTTTCCAGCATCACTCTAACCTTATGCTGGAGCAGGTATTGTCTAATCCTCTTGAAGCCAGCAGGCAGAAAGCTGACATTTGGATGATGTTGTGTGCTTTGGCTGATTTGAAACGCAGCTGTGTTCACATTTGATTTGGATCAAACTTGTACTGATCCAGTAAAGAACAGCTACAGTACTATTAATTGTGGAAACATGACTTCAACTTTGCCTGCTCATATTTTTGAACTGTCCTCTGGTGTATATATAGGTAAACATGTTTCTGTTTTCACAGATGGGATCTGTTCTGGGACACAAAATCAACAATGAGTTTGAGCTATAGGTCTTTCTACTAAAAGCCAATATACCAATCCCACGATTTCATCACAAGCATAGGGTAAAACTTCCCTTGAAGCATTAAAATCTGCCACAGGCAGGTTACAGCCTAGGAGACATGTACATGACATTGTGATAGTCATCTCCACAAATTGAGCCAAAGGTCTGAATTGTGCCGCTATTGACTAAGAATTCATAGAAACCACTCGGAACCTCTCGGCTGAATGAACACAAAAGTGTGATTGAATCTCGTGTTTCAGGCAATAATCCGATCACACAGAAAGATCAAATGAAGATTCTCTCCAACCACAACCAAACAACACAAAACTGTTTTATGTTTTGACAGTGTTTTGTTTGGGATCAATATGCAAGGCAATATTCCTGATGTGTACATTTACTTCTGGCTTATTGAAGTTCATTGCTCAGAGCTCTGAATCTGTGAGAAAACCCAAATGCCCTAATTCTGGGCTTTGTGTTTTCACCAAAGGTCTTGCTTCCTATTTTTTTGTGTGTACTGAAAGGCAGTGTTCCAGGGAGCACTGGAGAAGTGTCACCACAGACAAACTCCTTCAGTACTGGTATTTAACGACCACTCTACAACTGAGATTTACTTGCTAACACAGCAAGGTTTGTTATCCATACAAATCTCATTCTCTTGTTGAGAAAGGTCTGAATGTACCATTCAGCACAAATGGCTCTTTGGTTACTTTTTTTTTTGGTGGGAGATTGTTTCACATACCTCCAATCTTGGCATTAAAGGCGATTCCTACTGTGCAGTGTGAGTTGTTTGCCGTGGCGGCCACTTCTCCAGCACAACGGGTTCCATGCCTGCAGTCAGACAAACATTTTTCCAAGTAAGCACAGATTGTTGGGATTAAAGACTTTGAATTTGCGCATCCGCAGGTGCTAAAAGCACAACTATCCACAGTGTCTTGCACTACTTAATCCCTTGCAGTAATTTTGTACCCGTGTTACAATGTTCCTCCAAACACATTTTTAACATCATTATTAGAATCATATTAAACTCTTCATTGTAGGCTTTCTAGCTACTGAAAACACACACCGTTTGTAACAGAGACATACAACAATGATACATAATCCACAGCAACCAAAAGAAGTGTTCAATACCAGCTCTTGATTTTGAACCAAAGCTCATATTGTAGACAGAATTTTTGTCCTTCATTCTCCCACAGCCACTCGCATTGCTAGCATGCAGATCTCCATACAATCTCCAGCAGGCACAGTGCGTATCACACTTTTTGATGAGGAAGATGAGATTGTGCCAATGCCCACTCTGCTGTTTAGAGGGAAGCCTAAGACTGGCTATGTGCCAGGTATACTCAAAGCTTCTGTCCTGGTCATGCCTTGGGCCAACCCTACAAGCCTGATGCCTTTCTGGGAGCAATAAAAAAAGCTGAAGTACCCTCCACATCAGAGGTATACCCTGTGCCTGGAAGCAGAGCTGGGCTGCAAGGGCATAACCTTAAGAAGCTGCAAAGGCACAGTGGAACGCCTTGCCCAGCTCTGATCCATGCTCTCTATAAGGTGACAGTGGTTGTCCATATGGCCACCATGACAGGAAAGCTGCCTCTGCTTTTTGTGATTTTTGCCTCCAATATAGGTTTCACAGAGTGTTTCCTACCAGTAAGTTTTGCCTCATTCTTGTGCCATTGAGCAGCTCCATTGCAGAAATGTGACACAAGCAACAAGGAACAGACAGGGAACTTTAGAGAGCTGCTGCGGAGAGGAGATACGATGTTTCAGACCAGACAGGAAAAGAGATGGTGAGTTGATGAGACAGAGATAGAAAGATAATGTAAGTCTTGGGTAGCCACAAAGAAAGAAGTTTAAAAAGTCAAGGCAAAAAATAGACAACAACATGGCAAGCACTTCAGAGGAGGCTAAGCGAGGTCAGCTGTGTACACAGGCAATCTTCCGCTGGTGGTTGTTGACAGACTGCTTACATAGACATCTGGAGAACACGGGTTTTTTTGAATTAAAGTTGATGCCCATATTACAGACAAGAATCACAGTTGCTTTCTCTTGGTACAGCTTGTTCTGGGTAGAGTCACTCTTTATTTCCTTATCAATAGTGCCACTTTTTTCTCTTAACCTTTTGAGACATGTATATATGACACACTAAGATAATTTGTTTGGAATGGATTAATGCAAAACAAGGACAACAAATAAGACTAGGAAAAAACAAGAGGAGAGGAGAGAAAAGAAAAATATAAGTGATATAAGTGATCAATGCTAATCTGTTAGAATTTCAAAGGAGACCACTCATTTTATCAGATAAGTAAGATATATATAATCTATACGAAAAGTGTAATCTTTATTCACAAAATCAAAGTGACAAGTTGGATTATGATAAATCCCAAAGCTGAATCAACGTTTCACAATTATATGTATACCTCAACTAATTTCCTGTTATTCTGTTCACAATTCATTATTTGGTTGCCAAACTTCATCAGAGAATTTTTCAAGACTGAATTTAAAGTTTATTTTTCATATAAAGCCTAATTCCAAGCCTAATTTTCTTAATTTCAAGAAAGTCTAACTCTAATTGACAAACCAATGTCTTATCCTATTACAGAATTATTTTGAAAAACCTGAAGTAAATCATTCAGGAATCACACGCACAACCTGACACATATAATTGTACCCTCAGCAAGTTTGCTGATGACACCAAACTGGGAGGAGTTGTAGATACACCAGAAGGCTGTGCTGCCATTCAGAGTGACCTGGATAGGCTGGAAAGTTGGGCAGAGAGGAACCTGATGAGGTTCAACAAGGGCAAGTGCAGGGTCCTGCACCTGGGGAGGAACAACCCCATGCATCAGTACAGGCTTGGGGTGGACCTGCTAGAGAGCAGCTCTGCGGAGAGGGACCTGGGAGTGCTGGTGGATGACAGGCTGACCATGAGCCAG